CAAACTTCGACTTTCAGGTTGAATTTCGAAGGTCGAACTTTTAAGTTAAATCGAACGAAAAGTGTCGAAAGTTTGTACGAGGGAGATAATTTTAGAAGAGGAATTCCGAAAGGAGGGAAGTTTTCTAAAATAGACTCCATACTTTGGAGGTTAGGGGCGTCAATTTCAGGACGAATATGTCTCGGTTCCTTGGTCGTAATTCAATGAACTCGGAATGAACGTCCCTTGAAAATCGCTTTATCCGCCCATGGAATCCCGCCCTTAGGGCCCGAATAATTGCGTAATTTATTATTCCGCATTGATAAAACGGACGGACTCGCCTAAACGTTACATCGCGTGCCGGGGCGTAGAATTATTACGATTCCGCGGATTAATGACTCGATTAGCCGAGACGAAGCCAATTTTATGCAAATGCGATTATCCGCGATCGAACGTCCTCGCGCACGTTGCGAAATCGATATTCCTTCGGCGCGAGTGCGCTCGATTTGTTTTCTTTAACGCTTGTCGTTAATATTTATAGGATTCCGGGAATCGAATGGCTTCTTTCCCTCCTTTCGCCCCTCTCGATTCCTGGACCTGCGACGTCTAGCGCGGGAAATTCAAACGCGCCCTTTGGAGGCTTTCGAAGAAGTACCGATATAACTCGCGAATTCTCGGCTCTTAGCTTTCACGGGGGAGCCGTCTCTCGTCGCTTACTATTTTCGACGGTTTTCGTTCTCTATTTCGGTCCCGACGGGTGTCGTGTGATATTTTTTTCTTTTTTTTTCCCTGACTTTTTCCTCGCGAGCTCGACTTTCGGGTCTTAGGAGAGACGCGGTCGGCCCTGAGAGATCCGCCTCGTGGCGGATAGGAGCGACGTGGAGAACGGCACGGACGTCGACGCGCCTCGCTCGGATGCCGGGCGGCAACTGACGCCGACTGCCGCGACCGAGACCGCCGCACCGAAGGCCGCTGCGGGGCGCCGCGCGCCGCATGCGGCGCGACCGCTCGCAAGGCCTACCACGTCATCTCAAGGGGCTATTCACTCGGAAATCAGTGAAAATGACTTCCTTCTTTTAGAACCGATTGCCTTTCATTTCATACCATGAACAATGTGATTGGTATACAAGTGACGTTCGGCTTTAAAATCTCGACAGCCTTTACAAGAAAATCCACTAAAAACTGGTAATCATCTCTTATCTAAATTTAATTACATGTACTGTACAAACCCGAATACAGGAACTAGGAGGAATATACTCCTTTTCCAAGTACACGAAATGAGAAATTATCGACCGCTTTGAATTCTGGTAAATGATTCCATGCCGGGAATTTCTTTCTCGGTCAGCCGGTTAATTTCGGGGAGCATTTGGATATTAAATATTTTTGGGCCAATGGCACAGGGGGCACGGAATTTCCATCGGGAGATTTGACCCGACATTATTGCATTATAATCTGGATATTACTCTCGACAATAATCCGACGTGCTCGAGGAGGAGGGTCTGAAGGACCCTTCGATCGATCGGCGGAAATTCCGGATCCCTCGAGAGATATCGATCCTCGAACACCTTGTATAGGTGCAATCGAAGTTTTTGGTCAAGCACCGAGTTAGGTACAGGGCACCTAGGGTTGTTACCAGGGCTTATATGTGCCCAAGCTAAATATAGTGTTTCCACCTAGGCTAAAGAAGTCCGCTTTACATGATCGTATTAACCTAGTTCTTATCGATTCGCCACCGGGGTTTCGTCCCCAGACTCGATGAGCGCAATATCTTTGACGAAAAAAGGGTCCCCTGGATTTTCTTATTTTCCAAAATCCCACTTGCCCCGATTTTTATACTTACCGACGAGATCGAATTAACGCGTCGTCCTGGTAACTCGGATTAAACCAGTTCTTGAATTAAAGGAGATTTAAACTTTGGACGGAAACGGACAGGTTAATTCCGGTGTCATGCCCGGAAAGTTTCGAGAGGGGAAAATGCGCCCTGATAACGGATCGACTGAAAAAATTAAACTTTAATTTCTAAATGGACCTCCGGCATCTTCCGTGACCTGGTTTAATATCACCGAACCGATCTCTCCGTTTTTGACAGCGTGAATGTTCATTGTATTTTTTTTTTCTTTTAGGGATTGTCCAAATGCAGTGTTGGATTTTTCGAAAATTTCACGAAGGGATTTATTCCCCACGTGTACTTCAAATCATCAAATTGTGACGTATCCAATGCTTCGATCCATCACTTAGGATTGACGTTTGTAGCTTGATTGGACCGAGTGTTAGCTTATGACATTTCGATCCGAAATTCGGCTCGAAATTTCCACACTGATCGCAAACGAGATCGAGTATCTCTCGAAACGATGATTCGAATCCCTTGATTCAATTTTAATTATTAATTAAAATGTATATATGGCGAGACAACATTCTGGAGAGGAGTCGAAGAGTCGCAAGGGTTTGAGAGATTGAATAAGAGGTGTCATTTTTGTCACTTGCGCGTAATTTTTAATACCAAATTGCTCGTAAGGTCGTACCGTGTCGTGTCAATGGACTCGTAGATCATTTTATTAATGGTAATAGTTCAAATCGTTACGGATTCGTCCCACTTCTCTGCATGGCCATTCGTGGTAGAAATACTTGGACCAAGGGGACCGGAAGTCGAGCCCGATGGAATTTCTGGAAATCAATCGCAATGATCGAATTTAGACCCGACATTTCCTGTGCGGCCAATAGAGATCGATTATCATTCTTCCGGCATCGAGGTTTCAAAAGGAAATTCCGGGAAGTCGGTAAAATTTTACGTCCAGTCCTTTTATCGGGGACGTAAAGCTTTATAAAGCATACAGCAAAGATAACAAAATCTATAAAGAAAGCTCTGAAACGGAAAATCGACCATGAACTATGGTCTCCATAAATTGGTCATTTATTTCCACTACTTGGAGAATGTTTTCGATCGATCATTATCTATTGGGGTGTCCGTTATCAGTGGCTTCTACGAGTAAGTAAGACTGCCTGATATCCTGGCTTCGACTTGGATTTCCTAGGGGAATCCATACCTTACCACATCATGGGGATTTCAAACTTGGCGACCACCTCCTTCCCCCTGGAATTGCAACTCCACCAAAGCAAGAAGTTACGAAAAACTTGTATGAGATCCTGAGCCTTAAAAACTTCAATAAAACGGTTTTTACGAGGCCTGCCACCGTAAAAATATCGAGAGCCCCTTGGACAGAAATTCTTGAGATTCTGGAGGAAGTTCCCCACCTGAAACGAAAACTTGAAACCGCAGGGAATTCTGTCATTTTGCCCAAAGGTACTTCAATGCAGTCTTCGGTGATTTTGCTGCAATCCTTCGCGACAACTGTGCCCATAATTATGAAAGTGGTCTAAGTCAAAATTGAAAAAAAAATGAGTATCAGTTATTTCACGCCACATTATTTCAAACTAAATTAATTCAATGTAATTTCGAAACAAAAAATATATGACTTAGACCACTTTCATAATTATAGGCACAACTAGTAATTGCTCCTCGACGCGTTGCAATGATTTCCATTTATCCCGTTTTTCTCTAAAAATAAAATCCCTGCAATTCCGCGAATCAAGAACTACTCTCAAATGGACCTTATGCTTAACTTCCATGAGATGGAATTTGACATGCGTATCCTTGCGTAATTTTCTACCACATCTCTGTCGCAATTACGATTTTCCTATCATTGTTAGTCTTCCTAAAAATTCACGCACCGCGTAACCTGCACGATACGAAAATCCGCTTTCCGCGAGTCAACGGCTAATTTGCCAATTTGCATAGGATGCAACTTTGCACCTCCTTAAAAATGCACGCATCATGCACCGGCGCGCTATCAAAAAGCCTTCGTGATTCCGCGAGTGTGAAATAAAATTTGCATCGGATGCAATTTCGCACCTTCGTCGGCTGAAGAGTTCGCGGATGATACACCGCGGCGAAATCGAAAAGCCTTGATAATTCCGCGACCGAAGTGGGAGTTTCAAGTGAAACTTGGATCGGACGCAATGTTGCAGCTGCACTTTTTTGAAAATTCGGGCGATATGAAAAAATCCTCCGAGATTCGCGTCAAAGGCAACCCTTCGTCGACTGAAGAGTTCGCGGATGATACACCGCGGCGAAATCGAAAAGCCTTGATAATTCCGCGACCGAAGTGGGAGTTTCAAGTGAAACTTGGATCGGACGCAATGTTGCAGCTGCACTTTCTTGAAAATTCGCGCGATATGAAAAAATCCTCCGAGATTCGCGTCGAAGGCAAACCTCGACCCGACCTTACGCTCTCCTTCCGCCGAATGCAACGTCACACGTGCCCCTCCTTAAAAAATTGGCGTATCCATCGGCGCGATAACAAAAAGCCTCCGTGATTCCGCAAGCGATTCCGGGCATGCGCGGTGCGGCGCAGTGCGCGCCGCGACGCGGCGCAGGCGCCCGGCGTCCGCGAGGCGTCCGCGCATCGAAGCGTCGTCGAGGAGGCCGTGTTTTTCGGAAATCCAGGGAGACTCGGGGTGCCCGCTCGAATCGGGATTTCGGAGCTGGTGTTCGGCAACCTGGTGCGACCTCCTCCGATCGGTGAGTGGGCCCGGGAGTTCGTGGTCGACGTCGAGGTCGTCGCGACGGAGCTCGCTACTTCGCCGTTGGGCGGTGTCAGGTTAGGTTCGGCTCGGATGATAGCGGCTCCCGACCACGGGCAATTGCGAACGGGGGGAGGTGGGGAATGTTTCTCTTGTGGAGTGCAGCGAGGTGTGTCATTTTCGTTGTCTCGGCTTCCTCTGCGGTCAATTAATGTGGTTTTGGATGGATTTGTGTGGAACCGCGGTTTGGATGCAGTTAAAAATGTATGGTTAATGACAGCGGTGTTGGATTAGGTTCAAACCAGGTGACCACGAAGTCTGACCACGCATAATTGTGAATAGAAAATATGGGGAATGTTTTCTCTTGTGGTGTTGGATTAGGTTCAAACCAGGTGACCACGAAGACTGACCACGCATAATTGTGAACAGAAAATATGGGGAATGTTTCTCTTGTGGAGTGCAGCGAGGTGTGTCATTTTCGTTGTCTCGGCTTCCTCTGCGGTCAATTAATGTGGTTTAGGATGGATTTGTGTGGAACCGTGGTTTGGATGCATTTAAAAATGCATGGTTAACGATAGCGGTGTTGGATTAGGTTCAAACCAGGTGACCACGAAGTCTGACCACGCATAATTGTGAACAAAAAATATGGGGAATATTTTCTCTTGTGGTGTGCAGCGAGGTGTGTCATTTTCCTTGTCTCGGCTTTCTCTGCGGTCAATTAATGTGGTTTTGGATGGATTTGTGTTGAACCGCGGTTTGGATGCAGTTAAAAATGTATGGTTAATGACAGAGGTGTGTCACCTGTGTGGTTTCGCTTACGTTGTGTCATATTTTTTTTCTGGTGGGCCCCTTTAAAATTGTGATTCCAGTATTAACAATTTATTAGAGTCAGAATCCAACGCCAGGGGAATCGCAGGTGACAACTGACTAATGAATAATGAATAATTTACATCGTAATTAATTACCCCCCGTGACCGCGCAATTTTCTTTGTGCAATAGACAGTTTGCCCAGCACCTCACAGACGCCATAAAAGCGGGGAACGAATTGTGTTGCTTTGACATTTTTAATTAGACTTCATCCACCTCTGATTACGAGCTTCGTTTTAAAGAGCGCCATTTACGGGCATTTGCGATAATTAGCCACGCAGAGTGGAAACAAGGTGGAAAATCGGAAAAATACGTACCTAATCCCCCATTTACTGAAATAATTACTCGGAGTGGTAGAATGTTAACTATTGGGATAATTGCCAAGCCGAGATTCCGTCCACTCAATTTCTCTCGCAATTAAATTCACTTAAGGCGGATCGGAAGACCGCTCGAATTAAATATGAATGATTTCCCGGAAACGGTTGTCGGCCTCGCTTTTCCTGCAGGTGATTCGCATTAGTCACCTTATATAATTGCGACGAATAATTGATCTTCCGATCTTAACGAGGACTCGCACCGTCCATTCGTTTCCGCTTTAATGAATCCCGATGGCCACTCGATTGTGCGGTAATTAAGCCGAATTTCGGTGGATTAATTTCGGGATTTCTGGTGCATTTTCGATTTACCTGATGCACGCCAATTAACGCGTTAGGTGTTTACAGCTTTCGTGTGTTTATAAAATGTCGGGCCAAGTATGGACATGCGTCAGGAAAGATTATCTAATCGCTAAGTGACAACATATTGGCCCATGTCGTTGGTAATGACAAGTGTAAAAAAGGCCATCGCGTGTTCCTCGACCATGAAACACCAACAAAGTCGTTCAAGTGCAGAAATGATTATTTTGTACTATAAAGGTGTCTTTAAAAAAATTCGACTGGCAATTAGATAGTAATTAAATATGTGGTGGTAATAAAATAATAATGCTGGCGTTGAAATAAAATCCAGAATCGCGTTGAATTAAACAGGAGGAAAATGTTGAAAATGCACTTAGCTCTGTGATATGACTTCGGTAATTGTTTCTTTTTTTAAGAGACAACGTAGGATAGAAATAGTGACTTTTTGCAGAAAATCGGTTCTAAGGAATCATCCTGGCGAATTTAACGAGCTGCGTTTCCACGATGATGGATGACGACGAGCAGGAGGAACTCCGATGTACCGGAAGCGACGTGGAAATCGAAGAATATACAGATACCGAGGAATCGCCATATGCCGCTTATCAATCGACTGATAAGCTCTTCGACATGGATCAGCCAGGATGGCAGAAATTCTCCTTCCTGACCACTTTAATTACCGTCATTATCTCTGTGACAACTCTGATCATCTGTTTCCCTCTGTATCTGGAAAGCGTTAACACGGTTTCCAACGCTTACACCGGTACGCCATTGTTAAAAGCATGCATAAAACAAACATAGGAAGACTGCAAATTTTAAGTTTTGCATGTACGCACATATTTTCAAGGAAATTTATAATTTTCTTATTCTGCGAAATTATGCTGAAAAATTTGAGGCAATTATCTTTTTCTATACAGACATTTTTTTCCTCAGGGTAGTCATTTTGAAATTAATTGTTTAAAATATATAGGTCTGATGTTCATCGCGCTGTCATCGACGTGTGCTTTGGGGTTGGTGTGTTTTGTTGGCGATAGAGTGTCACCGACTCCACCTATGGTCCCGAGTAGTATGCGAGCGAAAGTACCACGTTGCAGTTTGATAAAATTGGGGATCATCTACGCCACTTCCGGGATTTTTGTGACCTTATCACTGGACCAGAACAGAGTGCTCTGCCATCTACAAGACCCCATCAAAGGCATCACCCTGGTCTTCTCGCTGGTCTACTACTTCTTCTTCTGTCGAAAAAGTGAGATCAATTTACTAAACGATATATCGAAGCAAACTAGTTTCAACCAAAATACTTTCTGAAATAACCGAAAACACAGTCGATCGGTCAATTTCGTTCAATGAACCGAATTTCTTTTTTATTTTTTTTTATTTTTTTTTATTTTTTTTTTATCCGCGTGTAGAATGCTTCACGGTTGAAACAGGAGAACACCCACGATTAATTGCATCTTTTAACAGTTCTGACGTTTTTTGATGCAGTGATGAGCCTGCAACGCATCTTCTCGAGCACGACCATAATCGTGGGTCTGTTTATCAGCGTCGATTATGGCCTTTGCGACGAATTTAGATGTCGTGGAAGAGAAGTCTCAGGACACGCAGCATCCCTTATGGGATCCTGGGGTATCAGAGCAGTCTGGACCTTCGTTTATGTCGGAGCTTTGGCGGCTTTTGCGATGTTTTTCACCGTCCTAGAACGTCACTACACCACAGGGGTATGGATTACTTCACTTCCTGTTAGGGTTATGCCCTCTTGGCATTACAACATGGAATTATCTCGATTTAATTGCATCGCCATGCAACGGAGAATAAACCGATAACCCTTTCCAGCAGCCGAACGTGTGTCAACTTTTGACGACACAGAACAACTCCTTCTTGTACACGGTGTCGAGACTCGTGTCATCTCGCGACATCAGACGAAGAGGCTCCGAGGAAGAAGGAGGCAGATTGCTTCATGTCACAGATCCCGATCCAACGATAAAGCCGAAGAATTTCCCAAAACCGCCGATTTTGAAAACTCTGCTCTACGTCCACGCGATCGCCTTCGTCGTCGTCCTGGCATTCAGCTGGCTCGACACATTGCCAGGAATCGGCAGGGTAAAAACAGAAAAGTCGACATAATTCTTGGATTTCCTCGTCGATTACGATGATTCAGGGCTCAAATGAAAGGGAAAAAGTCAGCGATCTCAGAAATTCAGATTACAAACGGTCTGGCACCTTGCTGTAGGAACTGTGCTTGTTTGAAAAAAATTAAACCTGCATTGTGGCTATGAGTGTAGTAAAGAGACGCGGCACTCGGTTGAATTCAATGGACTTGCTCGAGACGCTGGCACGGTCCTTGACAAGTCCCCTTGTTTTTGCAGTAGTTCTTAAATTCAATACTGGGAATACTTTCAATTACGTGGTGATTTCTGCAAAATGTTCCTCCACTTCGATTAGAGAATACTGTTCCTTGTTTTTCAGGGTCTTTCTCCGGCCGATTTGTACCGAACGGTGGAACATGGCCTTCTGTGCCATTTTAGAGGGAGTAGTTCTTGTTCGAGTATCGCAAGCCATGGATGGACGTTTCTTCTCGCCTACGTAGTTTTTTCGATATCAGCCTTGAGTTTCTTGGTGATGTCTGAGAGTGCGGTTTTCACGGTCGCAGCTACTACGGTTTCTCTGCCCTTGTCCGGAATTTGGTGGAGCATCTACAGGCTGGACCCTGGAACGAGTGGAGGTGATTAGGATAATTTCCATTACGTGGATAGCGGAATAAAAATTAAAAGAAAAAGTTTCACGTTCGTGGCAGCCATTTATGTGAATTTAACTTGATATTTCGATAATTTAGGCACGGTTTCATGGTCACCTGGAGTCACGGGAGAACTGATATGCGCATTGCTCGGTTTACCTGTGGTCCTCCTAGGCCTAGGGCTGCTGATAAGATCTCACTTTCGAGACAACCTATTGTGTTGTCAAGACATACAACCCCCCGACATCCACCCAGAGCCTTGTCACAAATGAACCGCCGAATCGGGAATCCCTGAAATTGTCTTGTGACAATTACTCCACACAACGAATGAGGAAAGCTGGAATGATAAGAAAGAAATCAGTGCTGGGCTCAAAAGGGTACGTACAATTAAGGTGAAGTACGGGTGGTAAGTTGTTAAAAAAAGAAAAGGGAGGAACAGAGAGAGAGATGCTTGAAAAATGTTTCCTATAAATTACCAGACAGGACGTCCATCAAGTCACGTTATTGCCAATTTATATTTTATTTTGATAACGAGATGATATTTCATATTTTCGATGACCGTTGAGTAGCTACTTCGATAGCGGGTCAGGGCTCGGTGTACTTCAATGTATAGCAAGAAGTATCAACATTTTTTCGAAAATCATTTCGAAGAGCGATTGCGAGGAACTCGCGATTAAGTCGAGGTAGGTTTGTCGTACTTACTGTAATTATAAGGTCTAAGGGTATTTATTGTTGCGGTCCTGAGAGGACCTTTCGCACTAAGTTACGTGTTTCTGAACGTATATTCTAACGTGTCCTCCAAAGAAATTAGTGTAATCGTATGTGTAACTCTGTGCGAAGTACTGTTAGCGCATGAACTATTTTAAAAGGGTTAACGTCGTAATCGGTAATGAGTGGAGTAACGAGACGCAACCGCGTCTCTTGACTTGTACGCACAGAAAAAATATTTGGTTCGATGATTTAATTCAACCAAGATCTTTTAATTAGTCGAAAGAAACGAGTTTGGTCGAGTGAACTGAAATTCGATTCCCTCCACCGAAACGTTTTCTGAAATTAACCAAACGAAGTCAATCGGACGAATTTGACAAGTGAATCAAATGTTTTTTCTGCGTGCAGGATTACTTTCTTGCTCGGAATTCCCGAGAGTATACAACGAGGCTTTACCTTATCGTCGCAAGTTTTTTTCCTCGAAGTTTGGTTGAATTGTCATAATTTAATTTTCACTTTGGGAGGCGCAACTAACACCGAAGAATTAGACATTTCTTTTCTGTAATCGGTCTCCATGTCTTTTTGTCAGCTCGCGTAATATTAAAGTTAATCTCCTTGCCCGCAAAAAATTGTGTTAAAAATAAATGGGAGCGACGAAACGAAATTTGGGGTCCGATGACGGAAGAGAACTGATTACGACTCTTATCTGCCGGGAATTTCACTATTACCGCGTCTAAGTAGTTTTTGTACCCATTTTATTCCTTACCTACGAAGTACTCGTAGCTTGAGAACTCTTTTCTTCCTTACTTTCGGCGTCGAAAGTCCAGTTGGACTTTTGCAAGAGCAACTCCAAGTCGAGATTAGAGAGCTGTAAGATATTTAAAGGTTTTGCTAATTTCTAGGTGGCCTTCCTTATTTTTGAAGGTTCTCGCACGCTTATTTCGAGCACGTAGGTCGAGCGTAACTAAGCAACTATTTAGTCGTGTAAGTGTACCTTAAGCAACTAAGCAAAGAGTTATTACATGTTGGATCGTGTCGATGAGATTCTATTGCAAGCCATACGTCCACATTTTTTACGAGGAGTAACGAGAGTAACGATAAAGTTGAATCCCAAGAGCAACAATAACGTGATAATAAGGCGGGACGATCGTAAATAGTGATCTTTTTATTTATCACTAGATGCAGGAATATAAAAGGACGTGATATAAATGCTTTGTACAGTATTATCCGATGTCAATGAACTTGACGAGGACGATTACCGTGTTAGATCGAATTATTAAAATCGATCTGTTAAACAATGCCGAACAAACGAGGCGCGATAATGGGAAATCGATATTTTGGGATCGAATGTTTTCAAGCTAAATCTTCCGATGTCGACTCATAATCGAGTCGATCTGTCGTTATACAATGGCAAAGTGTCAAAACTAGTCTATGCATTTCTACCGAAAAGCACGTCGCATTGTTCCTTTTCTTTGTTTTTTTTCTTTTCATTGATACACATCGTAAGGACGAAGTATGATCAAAATCTTTCGGGAGCTCCTCGCAATGTTTAGACGCGTTTACAGCGCTTAAATTATTTCAATCTACAAAGTTCGATTCGTACAGACATTCGTAGAAGTTCTAACGTTAAGTCATTGTCTTTGAAGTGTTTCTTCGCGATTGTTACGTCAAATAAAAATATATACGCGTGTATAGACAGTTTTGCGAGTCTCCTGTCGTGCCAATTGTCATAATATAAATGATTAATGCGAGCGAAACGTGCTATCCATTTCGGTCAGAAATAAATAAACAATTCTGTTCACGGAATCGATTGGGCACATTTCACTCGAGGTAAATCAACGTAATGGCGTAAGCAATTAGCGGTATAAAGACCTTCGCAAATACCTTGCGTAACAGTAACCGAAATTACAACAATAAAAACTGACAAATCGCGTTGCAGAAAATTCAGCATGGCGTCTTGGCTGTTAAAAATCTGGAAATCCAGGATGCACATAATAAAAGCAGGATATTAAATAATTGCGCACACTTTTTTCCCGCTTTCAGTATACGTGTACTTATTACTTTACACTTTGCTTGTATTCGAAAGTGTTTGAAATATGAAATTATTTAACAGTCTGTTTGGCGATTTATTGGTTAATTTTTTATCCTCATGTTTATTGTTAGGCGAAGTATCTGAAAAGGTCTTAATTACCAAGCTGTACCGTGTGTCTTCCCGCCAAGATGGCGACGCAAAAGTAGGTTTCCAATTAGACACCCTTTTACAAACACAGTGTCAGTATTTACGATTAAACAGTGCTTTCTCCCGAATTTTGCGAACGCGTCGTGACGTTCAAACTCGAAATCGAAACGCAGAAATGGCTCCGACTAATTCGACCTCGTCGGCTTCGTACTTGCCAATTAACAACTCGAGACGTCAATTGTGCCCATAATTATGAAAGTGGTCTAAGTCAAAATTAAAAAAAAATAATGAGTTTATCAGTTATTTCACGCCATATTATTTCAAACGAAATTAATTCAATGTAATTTCGAAACAAAAAATATATGACAGACCACTTTCATAATTATGGGAACAATTGTCAATTGACGGTACTGGTCTTTAACGTATTTCTCGAATTAGTCATTGATTTGCCTGTCGTGTAAAATATAGTTGCGCCGGACTAGCGTATATTACATTCGCCATTTTATGGACTTATGCGTGTGCTCAATGCGATATACATATATATATTATTATTATAACGTAACGTTGTACCGAATTGTATATGTATTAATATATACTTGTATAAAAAGATCTTGAAAAGTGTTGCTCCAAATTTCAGGCTTAACGTTTATTAGCTTCGACCGATATATTTTCTTGATGAAAATTTTTCCTAATTCCCGAAAATGAATGTCGCTATTGTTGCACTTTAATCGCGCCTAATCGCGCTGTTTTATGTTCGCTGCCTATCCTTTCGGATAGTTTTTTCCCTTCGTGGAGGTATTCGTCGTAGCTGATAGTCGCGAGCCAAGTGAAGTTGAATTTTTCAGCGATTCGCTGACTGAAGTTCGAAGCGAAAACTCCGAAAACCACTTCCGGCTTGACTTCTTCGAGCGTTGTGTTTTCTCCAATTTCAGTTCTCGTTACTTTTCCCTCCGCTAAACATTTAACGAATTTTATAGTGGCCTCGACGAGTTCTTGCCCGATTCCGCAACCGCGATATTCGGAATCTGTTCCCATATAGAATATTTCTAAGATGGCCGAGACGTCGTATTTTTCGAAAAGATCCACTTTCGACTCGATCTGGAAACGAGATTAATTAATTTTCCATACGTTAATGGAGTAGTAACAAATCGTGATAAATAGTTACGTTGTTAATGAAGTTTATGAGGCCCAGACAAGAAGCGTGTTTAATGTTCTCCTGGATAAAGAGAGAAAAGGGATCCTCTTCTTCGGAGTTTAAGGGAACCTGAAAAGACTAAAATTACAAGCTGCCTCAAATAATTTTCCCGGTTATTAATTTATCATTTCATAATAATTAATGGCCTTAACGATGATTTTCTTGAAAAGCGACTCGAAGCGCAAGTAATGAAATTTTTTCCGAAGTAGCGAAAAAATGACAAACACTTGCGTGCAACTTGTTGAATGCAACAGCGACAACTTGTTGCTTTTCCAAGTGGACTGCAACAATGCTGCAGCTGTCTTTGATGACCTCTTTGAAGAGAGGAATCATCTCTTCCGGTGCTCCAAATTCTTCAAACATCCCAACACCTATAGCTATGCATTCTTGAGTCATCGATTGTTGCTGAATCGCAATAGCAAGTTCAACATCCTCACTTTTAATGGGTCTGAATTCAATGGTCCCCTTAGAAGTGGTTCTTCGATATGGGAACATTCTCCAGGTGATGTGAAAATTATTTTAGCATTAATCAGTCGTAAATATTAAGGTATTATTACAAGTAGAGTTTTACGTGGATGATATATTGTTCATGTACTGCTTCAAAAATTTCGCACGAAGTGTACAGAATATTGGGACGATAATGGTATTGTCTTAAAATAAAAAATAAAAAATGGAGCCACTCGCCACTTATTGTGCACAGCCACGATGTCGAGGAGTACTTCTGCTTGGAGAACACTGGAATGAACCCAGCAATTATGCACGTACTCGGTAACAACGATGTAACTCTAGAAGCTAATCAGGCACGACCTACGCTCAATTGATCTCACTAAAGTAATGTTGTTTCTTGCAGAATTGCACAGTAAATTCCTCGACGGAGTTATATAGTTCAATGACACTTCCACAATTTTGCGATTTCATATCCGGAAAAAATAAAAAATGTAATTGCACCAAAGAAATATTTTGTAAAATCGAAGAATAATTACATGACTCAAATAAACTGGAATAAATAGGATGCAACGTTTCTTCGGAATTGCGACAATTTATTTCAGCTTGCTTGGGGGAAATAATTATTCTTTGAATTACAAAATATATTTCTTTGGTAAGAAATATCCCATTTTTTTTTTCTCAGTGCATCGCGTTACAATTCGTTCGCAATTCTCGATACAGTCGTGCACTTATGTTAGACCTAGTTACGCAACGCCGAGGAACATGAGACTGAACTTGATCAGGCGAATTAATCGGGAAACGCTGGTCTTGGCAATGCACTTATCTGTTTGTACATACAACGTTATCGGAGCAGTGTTTCAAGTATTATCACCCGATGCACGGTTAAGAAGTCTAAACTCTCCGCTCTAATCAGCCGAAAAACATTTGAGTGATTACAATGAAATACGAGTTTCATCTCAGTTATCTCACTCGCTTAAATTGTACGTGCACATATTAGCCGAAATTCAATTGAATAAGAAGTGAAGTCGCATGTCGAGGGTGTAAACATGTCTCTTATCACGAATCGCCTTTCGAGTGAAAAGCACCTACTTTTACTATGCCATCAGCGTGTCTTTTATGCGACATTGAGTAATACGCGTACCCAGGTACTCTTTTAATTTGTACAAGTGTACATTTGTAGCCAAGTTTTAACGAGGTCGTTTGAATGCAGAATTCTCTCCATTTACGAGGGTATGTGTTGAAGTGCGCTCCGCTTGGGACAGGAAAGAAGTTTAAATGTTTTCTTTTTCTTTTGTTTAGAAAAGGATTTTATTTTTGAGCGAGTAACTAGGAGCGCTTCGTGTACCCACTTCTACGAAAGCAATGAAATTCTGTTAATAGAATTGTCGGTTCTATACGCGGAATAAAAGGAAAAACATTTTTTGATGTACACGTCGACTCTTTGCGATGACAATTTCGCGGAAGAAAAGCGTCGTTATGAACGTTAAATATACATAATTAATTCGTAACAATATATTAGACATTAAAAACGTTCACGTACAAGTCTCTGAAACCTTTTGCGAATTTTGCCATCGCTAGAATAATTGTTTCAACGGATAAAAAAAAATATATGGTATCTCGATCAGGTTATAACCTCTTCGCGACGAGTAAACTCGACTTTGGATACTCCTTGCCCAATTTTTCACTGAATTTAACATTTTCAAATTCGAACTCTTCGAAACTGACATCGGCGAGGGTGTCGAAACCGAGTTTGGCAGCGATTTTCTGCGAGTGAAACGACGTCATTGTCGCGGAAATTAAAATGGGAATGGCTGCTTCGTTATTAATGCTCTCATCCTTATCAATTTCCACCGGTGTCTTCACCTTCTTTCCTCTTCTTAGTTCCTTGCCGATTTCTACCGACGCGGCCACAACCAGCTCGCCGATTCTTCGTCTTTGATGACTTCTCGCAGTACTGAGAACGGCGACTTCCATTATACAACCCACGTTATAATGTTTAAACATATTAACTCTGCCGTCCACGTCGATCATAAATTCCACCAACGCTTTCGACGACTTCCCTCTGCAGTTCTCGGCAAAAACCTGGAAACCGCTTTTTTCCCCATTGGTCACGGGTAACTAAAATGAAATAAAAATGTCCGTCAGACGTTCAGTTGTCCCAAAAATACGCTCAACGCGAGACTATTAACTATCTTATTCAAAAGCTTGCAACAGAAGATAAGCTTGTAATACGTAGAATCTTAAGTTCACTCGCGTAGAAGATGATGCCGTCAGTCGGAATGTTTAGAGCCAGTCGTAAAAAGAGTAATTTGACATTGAAATCGCGAGGTGAGGAGTACCTGCAGTTTGTTGAAGGCCACGCCTACGACGCTCTTGGTTGCTACGTCGATTGCAACGACACTGACGCCGTCTTTTGCAGCGTCCAGACAAAGTTTTTCCATGTCTTTCATCCCATCAGGGTCTGACAACATATTGACAGCTTGACAGACTGCTTCGCCTGTCAAGAAACTCTGTCGAAGGACGTCGAGAGCTCCCTCGAGGGTCTCCGTTGTTAAAGACTCGAATTCGATTTTCCCATCTTCCGACGTCCCCCAAAGTCTGTACGACAGCGTCCTTTTTCGAGAACTGCAAAAAGAATCATGAACGTAATTTAAAATTCGTCAGATTTAAATTTCTTTCTTACATGCCCCGCGATAAGTCTCTCTCGATAACGGCAAAGTACTGACCGAGCGCCATGCACTGAATTCACTGAAAATTTACACAAATTAAACAAGATAAATTGTTCCAACTTGGCCAACATTCGAATACAAATGGCAAAGTCGTTGCACCTTTTGCCGTAACTATACAAGACTAAATATTGATTCCCCTTTATCATTCCGCTTTCTGTATCCAGGAACGCATCGATTACGTGATATTTGGATTTTTTTTTTCACATTGTTGAAAGACAGTCGAGCCGCGAAATATCGGTAAAAAAAAATGTCTGAGTACCTCATGACTCCGGAGAGACTGTTGCTCGACGACGAGTCACTTGAGACTGACCGAATTCTATCAGACGAAGAGCGAGCAGAGCTGGCTTTAAAGAGAGACGGGACTTAATCGAGAGAGAAAGTAGGAGCAAGTCGGATGATTGAAGCTTGGGCTTTTAATTATTACATAAAAAAATAAGAAAGTTCCTTGAGAACCAAAATTAGCCAGATCAAATTCTAACGTGTTTTCATTTCTCGACCCGCGACGACCATTTTCGGGAACGTTGATGAATAGACGTGGAAAATTACAGGAACAGTCGATATTTTCGGTCAGGGCAACGATCGCATTTGTCAGTCTGGGAAAGCCAGTTTAAGATAACTTATCAACGGTTTTTAATGACTCTTCCTACCTAGTCGGCAAAGGAGAACACTGTTTTACGTGGTATTACTATCGCATGGATGTCCCGAATGAGAGTAGCGGCGCCATCTTGGAATCAGGGAAATAACTAACTCCGAGTTCCCTTTCTTTTTAAATTCAGCTTACAATACAAAATCATTTTGTATACAGCATACAATGCTGTAACATCTAGAAAGTGATGGCACAAAACCGAATATGATGCAAGTAGAGTTTCTACTATCGTTTAATCATAATACAGGTCTGTAAGAAATATATCTGCAGTATGGATGCCACCATCCAAGTAATTTCGTTAAAAGCCTAGGTAAGGGAATGTCAGGTATCAAAATTTAAATAGTACACACTTATTGTGTATTATTAAATTAATCTTAAACTATATTTAGTAAAAGTATAATATTTCGGGAAATTTTAACAAACAGGTTCCGTGGTGTAGCGGTTATCACGTCTGCTTTACACGCAGAAGGTCGCCAGTTCGATCCCGGCCGGAGCCATTTTTTTTCATCTTCGCTTAAATTAATTGAAATTCAACATACCTCTTTTTCAACCTTCTACATTCGCAATAATTCTTCATAAAACGTGAAAATTATTGACCATTCAAATATTCCAACTTATGTTCCTTGTGATATTACGGAGTTGCGGATGTGCTAACGAGACTGTAATGAAATATCTATTTTCGAACTTGAAGATGAAATCTGAGGAGCTGATCGATAGTGAGAACAGGAGTCTATCGATCGAAACGAACGTCGAGATTCCGAGTGGACGATTGCGAGAATATGAAGAAACGCGAACGAACTGTGAGAACCGAACAGTTGGCGTCTTGTAGCGGGCGTCGCGGCGGTCGGCGGTTCGCCCTCGAAGACGTCTTCGGTGAAGAGACGCTCTCGGCGTCGTCGCAGACTCTCCAATCTCTACAATAGCCTTAAAAAATATTCCCGACTCCCAGGGTGAGGATAAAAAATTGCAAGATGCATTAAAAAAAAGCCAACGCCCTCCAAAACGCGAGTGAAAAATCCTGGACATCGAAACAATGGAAATTAATTCCGGGGGGTATAAAGCAATGCATGAGTTATTCATAACGTACCGTTTTCGCAATTCATTATCTTTCTTAGGATTAATAATTGATTTCAAAGGGAAGGACAATAATATCACAAAATGCGTTCGAGAATCTACGCCATGGAAATTATGGAAAATCAGGATGTCTATTTTTCTTTTACAGTAACCGATTGGCAAGAAGAGACGTAAGACCTTCAGGGAATTTTTCGAGGATGGATACAGTGCGGACTAATTTTTATTCCACTGAGATTCTTCTTTTAGGTCTTGTTTGGAGGTAAGACGCGAGTTTGGAAGAGTTCCGGGGATAATGGAGCACTTTTCAGGACGCCTCGTTCCATCCCGGGAAACGTGTCGCGGAAGATGCGGGAAAACGCACGTGGAGCAGAGAATGTAGGAGAATGCAGGGAATTCCTTTTTTCCGTGAGATCGAAGCGCCCCTGGTGTCAAGTGTTCTGGGGGAGGGTGGTGTGGGGATAAAAGGTTTCCTTGTTTAACAAAATAGCGTCGCCGAGCCATTAGCCCGACCGTCTTCTGCAGGGATTGAATGCGATTCCCCACTCGGGCCACAATTCCTGGATCTGCTTCTGTACCCTGCAGTGTACACACGGGATACGCACACATTAAACCTCACACATATACACCACCCCATGTACCCCTTGCAATACATAAAAACAAGTCTAGAGTGACATACGCATTTTACAATGAATAAAAGTACATCGAGGACCATGCAAGAAGAGCGAAATTGTATCGGCAATGCAATCCTTTTCAAGGAGTAGAAATGTCCTTTTTTCGACGTAGGATTTTCTTCAAGGAGCCCAATTTTTTTCCCGCAAGTGTGAATGAATTTAAATTTAAATATTTATATTTATGTATAAAGAAATAAATATGGGAAAGAATCGATAACTCTTATCGACGGAATCGCGAAAGCTTCCGGAGCACGTAGGCGAGGCCAAGAGTGGCCCGAAGGGCTGTCAGAGACACGGGTTGACTTTTGTGCTTCTTGGAGCTTTTCCCTCAGGGTAGGCGGTGGTCGATCCGCGTTATCAGGGTGAGTCGAGCTTTCCTATCACCAATTGCAAGCTGCGGGGGTGTTTCGACGGCCACGCCTGTCGTCCAATGGCAGCCACCCTCGGAGGGAGAGTCACTCGGGGGCGTGGAATCGAAAGCTACCCTCGGGCTCGCGATCAGCCTCGATCATCAAGGCGACGGTAGTACCTGCCAAAATTTACGAACCATAGATCAAGAAGAGCGCACAGAGGGTCAATGGGCGAGTTCGCCCTGTCCCGCCGTTTTTTAACCCGATCCAGAACCATCGAAACCGCGCCCGAGTTTCTGGGGGGTCGCAGGACTCGGCGCCGCCACCTCGGGATTTCGAAGCCCGATTTTTCGGGCTAAACCTTCGATTTAGTGACTCTTTTCGGGTGATTCGGAGTGCCGAGGCGTGAACCTTCCGATATATCCAAGGAAAAGTGCGAGTTGACTTCGGAAAAGCGGTTTTGGGCGATCGCGAGGGTGGAGGGAAATGTCATGGCGGACGGAGGTGGAGCGTTTCGGTCGTTAAACGCTTTTTAAAAAGCGAAAAGTGGACTTTCTGAATGACCTACTGGGAGAGCTGAGAGGTATGTTTGATTTAATTATTTGCCGACGCTTGTGTGTCGGTGAAATTGTTTTTAAGACGGGGATAAAAATCCAGCACTGATTTTCTGGGGCTTTGGCATCGAATTCGCGGATGTTTGGCGGAACGGGAGTTTCGAGCGATTTGGGGCAGGCTGTTTTAATGAAAACCGGAAGGAAGGAGGCATTTATCGCGGAGGAAAAGGAAAACGCCAGTTGTGGCTAATGTCACGGTGTACGTAACACGACAAGAGCCAAATGGCCACGCATAACCGAGTCACCAAGTCACGCAATCACGGCAAGTCGTGTGAAGTCGACACGTGTCGTGCACAGGTCGAGTTGGAAACACAAAGCCAAATTAAATCGAGCTCCTAATCCAACAGTGACCACGTGCCTCTTGACACTTGTTAACTTGACACTAAGTATTAGTAAAAAAAAAATCGTCCTTACAGGAGAGTTGGAATGCGTCTTGTCAAATTAACTGGGATTTTACAACGCGTATTAACTGCACAGTAGCTTGATTTTACAACATATTTAATTTTTCAAATCATGTACTAATAAATCCTTTCAAGGAAATTCACAGAATTAACGTGTGAACATTTTCTAATAAGGAGCATTACTTGATCGGAGTGAAAAATGAAGACATTAATTCACAGGCGAGAAAATTTGAAATCGTAAAGAAGAGCTTGGAATTAATCAATTTACATCGTTGTATCGACATTACGACTTCTAGCAGTTAATAATAGAGCTTTACACAGTAGTTAGCGTCAATCTCGGTCAGACTATTTTTACGGATATCATTTCATGCTCACCTGTCCGATTTATTAGTATCTACCTGGTCTGATTGGGTATTGCAATCGCGAGTCTTTTTTTATTGTGTACATCGACTAATTTTTTTTTTTGGGGGGTTTCTTCAATCCTATAAGTCATAATTTATAGTTTCGATTTCAAGCGTCATTGCCGTTTAATTTTGAATTTCAAGTAACTCGAAAGAAGATCCAGGTGAAAATTACTCAGCGAATCGCTCGTCAAGGTGCATAAGTCATGGTTGTTGATTTTTGACGCTTAAACGAGTACCGCGTGTGTTTTTTCTCAATCAACCCCTTGAAGCTCGCATCACCGATATTAGGGATGGATTCGATTAATAAAAAAATAATTTGAGCCCACTTCACGGTGACTTTCCAAAATCCTTCCCTTAAAAATCATCTCTTGGCTTTCAAGTGCTTTCATCGTCAGCAAATTTATATACAATTAATAAATGCACTCCACGTCAATACATACTCAAGTAACATCCCCTGAATTTATTCATAAAAATTCGTGAAATTTGCTTTTCTTTCTCTCTGTGTTTTTTTTTTAAGAAAAATTTTAACCGTGGCTACAATTTTTCTACTCGTTTGACTTTCGCGGAAAAGAACAAAATGGCGCATTTAGAATGAAGTAACGTTGTAATGGAAAGACTTTTCCGACACCTCACACTGGGCATGATCGATCAGCATTTTTTTCTGCGAAATGTCGCACGTGACGTGACGAGGAAAAAAATTTGCATACTTCCACGCTCGACCTGCGCCTCTTCGCCCGCCGCCATGTTGCATGTACTCGAAACTATCGGAAAGTCATCGGATCGGCATTACGAGTATCGTGTGAAGTTTCAAACATCGAAAGAGTGACGGAGGCCGATAAAAAAAGGCTCAAAGAGGAGGATGTCGAAGGCTTTGATCGATGGCTCCGCATTAAAACGTAACACGGAAGAAGTTGCAAGAAACTTCTTTAAAGTTTCCCGATAGACCATGTACCCTGAAGAACTCTTTCCGACTTCCAAGACCCCACAGGGTGCTGTATAAAATCTAACCAGATACCTTGTCGACGAGAGCATTTTCATCTTATTTAATTCCAGCGTAAAAAATGCTGATATTTGTGACATTACTTAGTGATATTTATTACTACATTATTTTTTTAAATGGTATCAAGTGACGAGGTAGCGTCTCAGACAAGATCATAAGGCTCAGCTCTACGTCTCTTTACTTTAAATCGGGTCTGACGTTACAGCAGAGAAATATTAACTCTTGAATCTATACAAATCTCCAATATTAATATTAAAAAAAAATATGAAATTAAATAGGAGGCCCTTGCCCCTTCGGTTCCAGTTAGGACTACTTTGGAGAACATATGTCCATTGATAATGAGGCACCATGAGAAGGGTTAAACAATCCGGCCCATGTAATTTCACCCCGATTTACGGGGGCCGGACACCCTGAAGAAAGTGTACACATGAGTCAACGAGCACTGACAGTCTGTCCCCAAACCTTTTCTTTTTTCTTTTCCATTGGCAGAACAAATACGGCTCTTCGCTTCTTTTTTAAATTGTCTTTGTTAAATTATTAAATTAAATTAAATTTGATGTAACGTAATATGTCATTTTCGCCGCTAGATCTCGCAAAAAAAAGGAGGTTGAAACATCCCCTATTTGAGGTGAATAATTATTCGAGCAGAGGGAGGAACTCGGTAGGTGCGGGGGCGGTATAAAAATCGTAATGAAAGGACGCAGCAGACTAAGTACAGGGTAAACTGCCCCCGCGAAAGTTTGTCGCTATTATTGCCACTTTTTACCATAACCAATTGTTAGTTCCGAGTTTAAACTGCGAAAATTGAGTAGTTAAGAAAACACCTAAAACCAATTCCCTCTTCCTTAATGGACCATCTTAAAAAAATAGTTGTTATAAAAATCGTAAGAGTAAAGGCAGAACAAATGAATTTCCCTCGTCCTGGTTATCGAAATGCAGGAATTAAGGTCTAATTAAATTTCATATTAATAAAATTTTCTCGGGGTAGTTCATCCTTATCTTGGCGTGGTCTTCGCAAGGACGAAGAATTTCATTTTCCTTGTCTTGGATGCCCAAATGGAGAATATGCACGTGGTGTACCGCCGTCGACGATGGGCGATGCTCCACGTCGCCGATGCATTATTGGTAAAAATAAAAATCGTAAGAGTAAAGGCAGAACAAATTAATTTCCCTCGTCCTGGTTATCGAAATACAGGAATTAAGGTCTAATTAAATTTCATATTAATAAAATTTTCTCGGGGTAGTTCATCCTTACCTTGGCGTGGCCTTCGCAAGGACGAAGAATTTCATTTTCCTTGTCTTGGATGCCCAAATGGAGAATATCCTTGCATAGAAGTGGGAGGACTATTGTAGTGGGGATATGGACGTCCAACACGGCACGTGGTTTACCGCCGTCGACGATGGGCGATGCTCCATGTCGCCGATGCATTATTGAGCCTGAGAACCGGCCAGGTGGATAGGCTTCTATTAGCGCGAGAGAGACGGACATAAGGGCGCCCCCGGAGGCGCAAGAAAGATGGCGCTACCCAAGAGAGGGTTAGAAAAGTCACTCGACAGGGAACGCTGACGATAATAATGCCCCCGACTTTGCGACCTCCTCTCGGCCTCTTCTCGACCTCGGAAGGATCAGAAAGGGTCGCGGAAATTTTCAAACGCGTTTCCTTGAAATTTTACCCGAGTCCCTTTGAGAAGGAACTACTCGAACCGGGTCTGACGTACTCGCTAATTATCTTATGCAGTATGTAAACCGCGAAACAGTGGTTAACGTAAGTCTCGTTACACAAGAGTCACTGGACTTTCGCCTAGGCTAAATGCCGACTGGGTATCGGAAAAGGGAAAGAATCGCTTTTTGCGAAAATAGAGATACGTCTTTCCCTAGTTGATCACTCGGTTCCTTCTTTCTTCGAGTACATCCGTTCATTGAGGAGACTTTAAATGATAACGTGATAAGAAAAGAACTAGGAGACACCTAGTCCATTGCTAAGAGACGACGTCAGAAAATTCGGCTGAGTTTCGCGACAAGTACTTTATAAGAAACGGTACAGGGTTCTTAACGAAAAATTTAGATAATTCGATCGTTAAATGTTTATTTCTGGGTTTAGAGAGTCTTATCGCGAACCAATGTCGGGGGTGGTTAGGGTGGAACAGCCCCTCGGAAAATCCGCGGTAGACAATGGTTTTTTAACAGCGTTCAATAACGTTTCCTTCCACCTCGGAATCGGTATTAAAAGATGTCCTGCAATCTGAATTTTCTTTAGAACGTGACAAAAATCGGACTTGGTCATACAGAGAAGGAGACTAGTTCCTGCCCACGTCAAGTGCAACGAATCGCCGGAAGGAAATCCGCCATTGTTTTGGCAGGCATTGATAATAACAGCTTCGGAAATCGGAAATGGAGGAAAATAGCCGTGGGGAGACTCTTTGCAAAGTTTGCGGAGACAAAGCTTCGGGAAAGCATTATGGAGTCCCAAGTTGTGACGGATGTCGGGGTTTTTTCAAGCGGTCTATCCGCAGGTATGCCAGGTAATTCGACATTTTTCACCCTAACATATTTCTATACACATTTTCATTTTGTTCTTTCCGATAAGGTGACGAAAAAGAGTCGTTTTCTTTTCTTTTTTTTTTTTTTCAGAAATCTCGATTACGTCTGCAAGGAAAACGGTCGGTGCATCGTCGACGTGTCAAGACGGAACCAATGTCAAGCCTGCAGGTTTACAAAGTGCCTTCAAGTTAACATGAAGAGAGACGGTATGTCGCTCTTGGATGCAGAAATCATTTCGTTATTTCATTCGATTATACGTGACGTTATCGACGTAATTTTATTACTCCGGCGGTGGTATCGACCTTTTCGAGTATCGAGTTTTTAGCTGCCTCGGATGCGTCGGACCCTCGAACCGATCAAAACCGGGTCACTTCCTCGAGGCAGCTTTTCAGGAATCGGGAAGCACCTCTCGAGGTTTCCGGTATCGTCCCCGCAAGTGACGTTCGCCATTGGTCGAGCTTTTGGCCGAGGTTCTGGCGATGTCAGAAGTCGATATCTGCGCCAGTCGCTTAAGTATGGCTCCTCGAGAGGCGCCATCTTTGAAAGCTCTACTCGGTGAATTTGTCGAATCAGAAAATATTATATGATACTGGGTTGTCCGAAAAGTCTCGCGACCCTCTTAAGACGATTTTCAAATTTACTCATTAATTTACGTCCTTCGAATATGGGCCAGGAAAACTTCTCGATAAGGTTTACCGAGGAAACATAAATTTCTTATATTTCCATCGAGGCAATATAAATTCTGTTCGTGGTTGGAATATTTTTTACCGACGCCTGCAAACAATAAACCATTAATTGTTTCACATTTCAAGTCGAGCTTTTCCCTCGACGGCCGTGAATTCTATATTCGAGCTCACCTTAAATGCCGAGCTTTTTCGGTAAACATCCGGGGAAGCATTACAATGCAAAGGGCCGCCATTTGTCCCGGTGAAGAAAAAGCCGACCCACATGAAATTTTAGCTCTCCTGTACATATAAAGTCCCGGGTTATGAGGAGATGGAAAGAGAGAGAGAGGGAGAGAGTGGTGTCAGAAGCAGCCCGAGCGTTCACAGCTTTTGTAAACATGGCGGGTCTCAGCACCCCATCGGCCAGCCATAATCCAAACACTTGATTGTTGCGAGATATCAATTAGCAAGGGGGGTCCATTAAGTACAAAGTGCCCTCGAGAGTCTCTAAAAATTTTTTCCGTAAAAAGAGGCTGATCGGAAGATCGCGTTCAATCAATTCCAGTTGATAAGAATCATTGTTAACCCTAAAGGACTCGAATAGAATTTTTTATCCTGTGCGTGGAAATTGAGATGGCATGAATTTTCAGCCGTCCAGCACGAGCGAGCTCCCAGAAGTACATTTTCTCTTTAGTACTAGAAGTACTAGATGTACTAGAAGTACTTCTCACCACCCCATTGGCCAGCCATAATCCAAACACTTGATTGTTGCGAGATATCAATTAGCAAGGGGGGTCCATTAAGTACGAAGTGCCCTCGAGTCTCTAAAAATTTTTTCCGTAAAAAGAGGCTGATCGAAAGATCGCGTTCAATTAATTCCAATTGATAAGATTCATTGTTAACCCTAAAGGACTTGGTTAGAATTTTTTTTCCTGTGTGTGGAAATTGAGTTGGCGTGAATTTTCAGCCGTCCAGCACGAGCGAGCTCCCAGAAGTACATCTTCTCTTGCCGCAGCAGTGAGAAGAGGTCCTTCGGGACTTTATCCAGGCCTTCCTCAGGTTTATCACCCGGCTGGGAGTCCTTATCACCCTCTTCTATATCCAGCATTGTTCCCCTTCAAGCCACCGACCATCCCAGCCTTCGCTCCAAGTGTTGGTAAGTCCTGCACCGATGTCGATCGTCGATGAAAAAAATTCATTTTCCTGTATAACTTAATGAACCATTTCATGCACAGATCGTTTAATCGCGTCAACGGCGCACTTTTTACCAAGACCCTCCGCCGAATCTTTGCCAACGTCCACAGCGAAGGAGGATGAAGTAACCAGCACCGAAGAAGCAGCTACAGCTGACAGCCAAAATGTCGGCAAAGGCGAGTCTAGAAGTCTGCACAATGTTCATGATTAAGGGGATGCGAAAGCGGCATCTGGAGAATCTCGTTTATGAAACTTCTCCTAACTGGGTGGACCGAATCGTTTCAAAACACTTGCAGTGAAATTTTGTAAAAAATTCAAGTTTCATTCCTTACAAGTTCCACATCCACGTTGTAAAGTTTGAAGCTATGCGGTGTTTGGAGAAAAGTCTCACGAACGATTGTCACTTTGTCATCCCCTTAAACATTAGATGTGTAAAACGAGTCTGAATAAGAATCTGGTCAGACTTCCAGGAGAGTAAGGAGGAATGAATTTTTTAGACGAAGCAGGGGCACGACTTGCTCCACCGATGGTCGGTGCCGTATCGTTACCAGAATATACAGTTTCCAGTTTATCCTTGTTACCGACCGAGAACGTGTACGAATCCGCCGCCAAACTTCTTTTTCTGGCCGTGAAGTGGGCAAGAAGTATCCCTTCCTTCCTCCAGGTGAACGCGAGATACCGACCTTGTTATCGTTTCCTTTTTCTCCAGAGCATTCTTTTGTCATTGTATATTTCTTTGTTCAGTTCTCTTACAGAGACCAGGCCATTTTGCTGGAGGAATCTTGGAGCGAGTTGTTCGTCCTTACCGCTGCTCAGTGGAATTTCAACGTCGATGAATCCACTCTTGTCTCGGCGGATTTACCGACAGAGCGAAGGAGGACTCTTCTGGAAGAAGCGCGGCGTTTGCGGGAATTACTCACCAGATGCGTAATGCTCAGAGTCGATCATTCGGAGTACGCGTGTTTGAAAGCGATCGTCCTGTTCAAAGTGGGTAAGTATGAAAATCCCACCATGAATGTCCGGTCTAATCTTTGGGCCTAACTCTCTAAACATTTTATATTTTATTCCTACCGAAAATTATATTTTATTGTATTATATCGTATGGCTAGGAACTGTGGTTTTGATTGATCTTTTTCTTCCAGAATCCCGAGGTCTCTGCGAGCCCGGCCGAGTGTCGGCATTGCAGGAACAGACCGTGTCGGTTCTCGCGGAACGAGGTGCCGGTAGGGTAGGTCGCTTGCTGCTTCTCTTACCACCTGCCCGAGCCCTATGTCGCAGCACCCTGCAAGAATTACTGTTCAAGCCCACAGTAGGGGATGTCACCGTGGAGAGGTTGCTGGGAGACATGGTCAGAGCAACGAGGCCTGCTTAATTAATTCCCCTATTCGATAAAAAATCACTGAAATATGATAATTCTGGAACATCCGCGCCGGAATGGCCAACCTAGAAGGCACCTCCCCTCCTCGATGCTCTATTACACTTTTATCATTAAATAAGCGTAGATATATTTTCTCTATAACTGAATTAACCACAACCGACCCTTGCTTGCTTATAGACTGAGGTTAAAAAACATACAAAGGGTAATTTTCACATTTTTCAACAGTGAGTTGGCTGTGGTGAGCGTTCCACAGTTAATATATTTCGGTGTATAAAATCTACACTTACCCTTATCTCCTCACACAAGCCAATATCACGTGCAATTTTTCCTTCTTTACGAGTAGATAAGCATCGTAATTTTCTGCACCACGTATTGTTCCACTCTTACCGTCACGCACTTTTTTACGGTTTGAAGGTACGTCGTCGAGAGCGGAATTACCGTGGCTTGGAATTATGTTAAATAATCAGAGGAAGGAGGAATGCCGTACGAAATTGAAAATAATTTGGAAGCTCATTTCACGTCCCCAGGTTTGTCGATTTTTTCAAATTTACCGCACAAGTAATTAACAACCCTAAAAAAACCTGCTTCAACCTTGACCGCTGTCGTCAAATTTCCATATACGTATATAAGCATTTAATATAAAAAAAATATATTTATTTTCCATCCCGAAAGCCGATCACACCCTCGGCCGACATTTTACCAGTAAGAAGTTATAAAAAATAGATCCCATAACACCATTATCATCGCCAATAATTCCCGATAATTGTCACTTGAGATGAACGCAAGGGACGCCGGGAGTTCCGGCGCGAAGTTCAAAATAAATCAACGCAGACGCACACCATCTTTTTTTATTAACTAGAATAATTTATTTTTTTTTTCATGGTAGAAAAAGGAGAATGTATCTTAACTCATGGACTGCATTGTACTCATATATATACAATTACATACAATCCTCAATTGAATGTTACACATAAATTCATTATAAATCGATTTCTTGTTTCCTCGTGAAAGTATATCTGTGTTTCTGTTCTGAGTTCCTCCTTTTACCCGAAAGCGATTCTCTATTTCATGTATAGTAATAATAATAATCATAATAATAATCATAATCATAATAATAATAATCATAATAATATGCTGCTAACTGCGAAAGAACTGGCTTTGCGTGATTACGTGTGTCTCTGTCTGTCCTGTGTGTGTGCATGGATGAATGAGAGAGTGAGACAAAGGCAGCAGGGAGAGAGAAAAGCGCGGAGAAAGCACAAGGACTTGGGAAAGAAAATGGCGGAAGAGGGAATTCGAAGGAAACGAAAAGAAAGAAGAAAGGAAAACTAGGAAAACATAAAAGATCGCGGTTTATTGGAAGTGGTTGTGTGTAACGTCGTGGGGGGGAAAACAGAGATGAGGACTTTATTCTCGTTTGGAAATGAAATTTTTCTCTCGTGTGTGCGTGTGTATTGGTGTGTGTAAGTGTGTGGATTCGTGTGAATTTGTGTGCGTAGGTTAGCGTGTCGGTCTCTGAAGTGTCTGGAGGTGTCTGTTATGTGGATCACGATGTAACCGTTCGTAGAGTAATCGTCACAAAATAGCAAGCGGTGCCAGAAAAAGAAAAGTACACAAATAAGCTAACCTGCGGCCGATTAATCCTCTCTTTCGTTCTCTTTTAGTAGAGTTTCCTAACCTTAAGTATTTCGCGGACCGTCGAGCTACCCGCGGCCTTTTCCGCGCGCCTGATTTACTCTTTTTTTTTTTTCCCTCCCCTTCCTCCCGAACTCTCCCCGACGAACAGAAAAGAGAAAAAAAAAAAGAAGAAGAAATAGAAAAGAAAAGAGACGGCCCGACTCACGTCCGCGGTGTTTATATCCTACTTTTTCCCTCGTTTATATCTCCTTTTAATTCTCCCTGCGCACGTGGTCGCGAAAGTACACCTTGCTCCCCTTGCTCGTGTTTCCCGAGAGAGTTTTCGCCCTATAATTTCCTTTCCACGACTTTGTCCTCGTCGAAAAACCTGTGCCCGAAAATCCCGGAAACGCGTGTCTCTGTGTGTGTGTTTGTGTGCGTTCGAAAATCGCGCGGTGATCTGGCCAGAAATTGTTCGTTTCCAAAAGTCGCAAAGTTCGAGGGATGTCTGAAAAGCACCCCTTCTTCGTTTAGAATCCTTTTCGAAATTTCCTCCATTTTTTTGTTGGCGGGAAAACTCCGCGGCGCTTCTTCCCGGTCGAGAGAAACAGACGTCGCGATCTGTGCGTGTGCGGTTCTCGTGTGGGTCGTGTGTGTCAGTGTGGCATATACATATCTCACGCGTGACGCAGATTGTAGAGACGTAAAACGCAACGGCAACTTTTCACCTCCCTTTCGGAGGTTAACTCTACTTGTGGGGTGGGGGGGCAAAGAACTAACAGATTTCGGCATAATAACAAATCGCTGTGCCTGCCGCGCGCAAACCGGACTCGCCTAGCGCGGGTCAGGGATAAATAAGAATTTGCCCCACACAAAATATGTGGCATTCCTTGCCGCCTGGAAATCCGAAGGAAAAGTCGAATCGACGGGTCGACTTCGTCCCCCGTTAAAAGGGGGCCATTAACACAGTTAACACCGTTAATACACCCTATTTCCAAGAGCCATTGGAAAAGAAAACACACGATCCACCCGTCAATGTCGACCGCTCGCTCTCCAGCCGCGGCCGCGGTGTCGCCCTCGTCACCTGAGAATCTTCCCGCTTATCCTCCGATTCCTCGAAATTCTGACATTTTCGCATTTTTAGTTAGCAATCGCCGCACAGGAAGATCCCAAAATGACGGGGCGTGGATTTTCAGAGACTCGCGGACCCGCGCTTTGGACGTCGGCGACGATTCCGCGGGGCGCAGCGAGATATATATATATATATATAACAGGTTATCGGCTCTGACGTTTGCGTTATCGACCCCTCGAAATTGTCGTTATCGATCTCCTCCTCGAGACCTCGGCGATCCTCAAACCCGGGGAAAAGGAGTTAACATTATCTGGGAAAAAGCGAACCTCGGTGTCTCCGATTTTCCAAAAATCATTCGAGAGTTCCGCAGGTGCTTGTAAGGTGCGAAGATGTGCGAGACTTCGAGGGATCGCTAACTTAATCGGCGTGACGCACGCATATATGTATATATACACCCGGGTGTCGTGGAGCCCGGAAATCGATCTATCGATCCGCGAGCCCCACGACCGGCCGGTCAGAGCACGCGAACGCAATAATCTATTATTTCACAATCGTATCATCACTATTTCCCTCGTTCAACTATTTCCTATTGTGTGTACGCGCGCGCGTGTGAGAGCGTGTGTGTGTGGGGGTGTGTGCGTGACCGCGGGAGGGACGGGCGAATCGATCGATCGAGACACGAGGCAAAATTTCCTCGCGACCTCGGAACGGGACGCACCGAAAGCGGAGTCGAGAAATACAGAAGAAAAAAAAATTCGCGATCGGCAGTTTTCGATCACGAGTCGCCTCATCCTGGCAGTCGCGGCAGTGAAGACGGACGGGTGTGTCTCCACACGTGTGTATATGTATACATGTACGCATCATTATAAAGGAGCGTGTAACAATGGATATAAAAGAGAGTCTCGAAGACGGCCCCGCTCTCCACGCATCCGTATCTCCGAAGAGGCCCTCGGGGGGAGGGGTGCCCCACCCGTGGCCAGCCCTATCATATTAATGCTCATCTATTGTATACTGTTGTGTACTGTGAGGTGTGGTAATCCGTTGCATAATCTGCGGGAATTTGCGAGGTAGTTTGCAGGCGCGGCCCGAGGCCCGGCCATGGGGGGTCCGAATTGCGGAAAAGCTCGGGAAAAAAAAATGGAGCCGGGGGGTGATGCCCCCCCCGGGGGCAGTGACGTTCGCGAGAGGGGGACACCCCCTTCGGGGGGCCTCGGGGGCGCGCTTCGATCCGTGGTCTATTGTTATAAACTATTGCACTTATGATTTGTAGTCGTTAATTCGGCGCGGACATTGTTAACACTGTTAATAATCAACGGTGATTACGATATAGGTGTATGTATATTAAGGGATATATATATATGTATATGTATATGTAGGACTGCACGGTACCGATTTTCCCGTCTTATCACCGACACTTGATATCGACGCTTTATATTTGCATATTTATTTGTCGGACTCGATAACGTAACGAAAGGAAGTGAAAATATCTTCGGCGCACTGCAGACATATACATACATATATATGTATATACGTGTAGATATATAATATAGCTTCCTCTGTGGTATCTGCGGTTGCTCGTTTTTCCTTGGATCAAGAAATGTGGACGAGAGGGCTTATCCTCTCGCTTTAAATGGAAAAGCTCCCCTTCCCTCCCCCGTTTCCCGGCTGGTCGTCCGAGTCCGCCATTTTGGAAGAATGGCGCATCGCTTCGCCGCGCGTTCGAGTCTCCGAGCGGACGACCCGCGCGGGAAACGCCGAATTTCTGCGGCGTCCTTTCCCACCCCCTTAAAACACCCTGAGAAAATTTACTTGCATGGTGCAACCCACTGATACGTTATGGGTACGAGATGTCGCGTGAAAGATTTAATCAAAACCATCAATGGCGGCGCATGTTAAAGAGCTCCTTTTTTCTTAAATCTGTTTTAAATTAGTTTTAAACATTTATCAGTGATCGCGCATTCATAAAACCGGCACGAAAGTGTACACTAATTCCTCAGGTTTTTCAATGTGATCCAGAAAACGGGTGAATGCGGATTGCGCGATTAAATTGTAAAATCTCGTATCCATGTCATACCGAGGGTACAGATTAATTTCTTGTCTTTACATTTTTTAGTTAGAGCGAAAAGCAAGAAATCAATGTATACACTTATCAGTGGTGCAGCCGAATCGTAGGTGTATTATTCGCGTCTCTTGCCCTCGACTTTTTCCCCCCTTTTTCTTCCTCCCTTGCGATGATTACTCACACACTCTCTCTTTCTCGCTCTCACGCTCTCCTCTCACTCTGCACTGTTCGCAAGGGTACTTC